TTCAGGTTGGGTGTGGAATAGAAACTTCTTGAATTTTGAAACGTCGTTTACGCTGTCTACCTGTTCACAGAACAGCTTCCAGGAGTTGCGCTTGGCGGTTCTTGTCAATTGATTATTTCCGTTTATCGTGGAAGTTGTCCCAGAATACTGTAGATTTTTTTCGGCGTGCTCTGTTGTAAAGCTTTCGGACCATTTTTCCTTTGTTCCGAATCTCCCCTGTCATCCAGGGTTTTTCAAAGGAAGATCTCCTTTCTCGAAGTGGGCAACTTTCTTCGAAAGACTTTACAATTACTTTCGTTAATTTGCTGACGTTCCTGTCTATGTCATTCGTGTCTAGGTACTAGTTTCCCAAACTTTATCCAGTTACTTGTGGACTTGTTTTGGAAGTATTTGGGTTTCGACAGAGACCGTAGAATTTTCAACATAATATATATGTGGTCAGAAAAGTAGTACTCTTCAGAGGCTCTCTATTCCTTGACCTCATCTATTAAGTTTGCATACCACCCTAAAGAGCATAAATGTCGCACTGATCGCTATGATTTTTTACATGATGTTTCGGTTATGGTTCAGGTTTCAGTGGTGATAGAATTATATTTAGGAGACTAGACCACAGCTAAGACTTTGTAAAATTACAAAATTTGCGTTGAAATTTTGATCTTTAATTTAATATCGAGTTTGGTAGAAATACTACAATATGTTTAGGGTATACCCTAATATATTTAGTAATGCTATATCACACTAGAGGGTGAAAATATGGCGAATTATTACCCAGGCTTGGGAAATTGATCCGCAGAAAGTTGGACGGGACCGAGGGAACAACTATACTGCAAATGCACATCTTTACTTTCCAATCCGAATGAAATTTAAGTTTTCTGGATCATGAGGTAATGTATTCTAAAATAATTAGGAACTGGAAATTTTTGTTTCGGAATCTCATAAAATTTCAGACTGGTCGAATTCAGCACCTCACAATTTTTTTTTGTTACTAACAAAAATCTGTAATTTTCCCTTCTATTTTCTTTCAGTGTTCCAATCTCGTCAAATCTCGATCCGTGTGTGAGATTTCCAACAGTTGACGGTGGTGCTGGTGGTTGTTGGTGGTGTCTATTTACGTTTTGGTGATTTATTTACAACTTCATGGCAGTTTATTTTTGCACCCGCTATTGTTTTGATTTTTACGGAGGCGCACACACAGTACTCGAAGCAGAACAAACTAGCGCTACACCTAAATGAGAACAGAATTCTGCTGCTGTCACTACTGCTACCGCCACTTGAATGCCTTAATAACTAAAAAGTAATGATCAATGTCGCATAAGATTACACCCCGTCACAATTTTTATGACAATTCGCGTAGTGACGGCGAAGAGCTCCCCAGACGCACGTTCAAGTACCCGCAGAAAAAGTGTAAACCACCAATCTACTTGTAAAAGAAAATTCTAACCAGAGGAGGGAGAAAGAGAGAAGATAGAATTATTAACCCGAGACTCATTACACCCGACAGTCTGTCTGTCTGCTACGCACATTGTGCTGCCGTTAAAATTCAACCACCCAATTCATTTTCGATTCATTTTTGGATAACTCTGCTGGTGTTGATCCGACGGTCGTTCGGTCGGATGGTTGGCTGCCTTGCTTGGTTAATCATTATCAAACATCAGCGGCGGCAATTCAATTCATTTAACTACGTTTGTTTTTTTTGCTGTTTGCCGTTTTTATTGCTCTCTTGGCTGTTGTTCGTTGAATATCGTGCTCTCTCACCAAACCCGATTGTCATTCTCATTGGTGATGTCTGTATTCTTTGAATATAAAATTTCATGTCATCAATGCAGAGAACTTTAGTCTAACGACAACAAACGAGCCTGCGACAACACAACACATCGAACTTTCGAACTAGCGGGTTACGTATGAACGAACGCTACGCACATAACTACCAATCGGGTGTAAAAAACTGTGACGAATAGATTTGTTTAAAGATCAGTTAAGAGACTCATCCGTGCGCGAAAAAAAACAACAACCACGGTATTGAGAAATTCCAAAATACATATTTGTTTAACACTGAATACAAATTAGTTGCAAATAAAAATAAAAACAAACGAAATCACGATCGATCAATAGCCGGGTATTCGGAGAATTAAAAATATTTTGCGGTATTTGGAGCAGTTGAATATAAATAAATTAAATCGGAATAAAATTGTAACAAAAAATTAATAAGAATTTTAAAGTGAATCGACTGAATGAGAATTGTTTCCATTACAGAATATTGAACAAAAAATCATTGAAGTGAAATTCGAAAAATATATTTCAAATACTAAATAAATTGAATGTCGGTAAATAAATAAATATTTCAAAATATAAGCAACGAAAAAATAATACAAATATTAAAATCTATAAAAATTACCAAGTGAATGAGAATTAGAACACGTGCACCAACTATATTTTACGGTTCATCGAAGAGCAAAATTGAAAGGAATTGTGTAATACAATTTTGAAATAAGCAAATATACTTCAATACCGGCGCGAAAAAATTATCATTGAGAAAATAGAACGATTTGATAATCCTTAAAGACATACAAGGTTTCCAAAGAAATTTTTTGGATTATTGGAATATATTTTAACGAAAATAAGTGTGAAGCTCTGTCGAAAGATAATTGATCTTGAGAAGAGTAAAAAGGCAGCTAAAAGAGGGACATTTCTTTCGAAATTGTCTGAACTTATAAAAACCGGATAAACAAGAAATTTTTGGAAACAGAAACAATTAAAAAAATAATACCCGGAACACAGCTCAAGAATGTCCCAAATTTTAACTGCAATTCGTTAGAGGCAGAGTAAAGGCATCTCTTGGAAAAGACTTCGTTGCAGCTATTAGAGAAATTAGAAACCCGAGACTTCCATCGAAGTTTATTCAGAAACGTCCATCGAAGAGCCCTGATTATTACTCGAGGTGAAAGGCAGCTATAGCTGAAGATCAACCAAAGCAATAACCTCAAAAAATACCAAAAAGAAGTTACTCGACTTTTAAGTAAAAATAAGCAGAATATTGCAGTCGGATCAAGAAATCACTAGAAAATAATTTTGGAGAAAAATAATCATCAACTTTAGAGAAGACTACTTCAGGAACCCCGAATTGTAACACAAAAAAGGCAGCTAAAACTGGAGACCAATCAAAGAGTTCTTCGACTTTGAAAATCGATCAATAAAGACACGGAAGATCAATGCAGATACTATACTAATCGAAAAAATCAACACAAAGAGGCAGCTACAAGACGATATATATCCTGGCCATTGGAAAATAGTCAGCAGAGTTTGTCGAACCGCATTTAGTGTCGTCTTTACTAAAAACCTGAGGAAATTTTGAAGCAAGAACATTTTCCATCCTTCAAACGTCCCGTCTACATCATAGGCGTCCATTATTTGTAAGAAAAACTTACCTGCTTTTATAGTCTGTCAAATTTCAACGTGAATGAGAATTACACCCTCGTAGTTCAACATTGAAAGTCCATTGAAGATTTGAAGTTCAACTTCTCCCCAACATAACAAAGTTAGAATAAGTAAAAGAGAGCACTTAAAAAGTGTGGACGTTAACTAGGGAACACAAAAATCTACCATTTCCTCTCAGCAAGCCCTTTGTCATATATCTTCTTTAAAAATTCCAAGTGAATGAGAATTACGTTGCCATTGAAGTACAGCATAGCAGACATATCGTCTGTTTGAAGCAACTTTTACCCACAAGAACGCAATCAAAATAAAAAAAAACTGTAAATATCGGGGAATTCCTTACGTTTACAATTTCAAGAGAACGTAAAAACTCCCATTTCACCTCAGCAAACTCCCAGTCATTTATGCTCCATAAAATTGCAAGTGGATGAGAATTACACACTATTGAAGTTCAGCGCAGCGGACCTATGACTAATTTCTACCCACGAGAACGCAAACAGAATAAGAAACTAAGAACACTAGAAAATTCCTTACGTTAACGATTCCTAGGTAACTGAAAAACTTCCATTTTGCCACCCTCAACCCTCCGCCCTTTATACTCCGTATAAATTCCATGTGATTGAGAATTACAATCATTGAAATTCAACAGCGTAACAGCTAAGCGAACACTGGAAGCCAATTTCTCCCCACTGAAACGAAGCCCAAATAAACAACCGAACAGAGAGCAAGGAGAGAGAGAGACGTACTGAGTAGCGATAACGTATATCAGGAGAACAATAATTCAAGCTGCTTGCAGAAAACATTGTAAAGAGATAAATACGAAAAGAGAGGGAGAGGAATACCTTAGAAAGCTATTGAAGAGAAGGAGAGAGCGAGAGAGTAAAGCAACCACATATATAAGTATTAAAAGATAAAGAGCCAGTGACAGCTAATCGATGAAATATTGTTCGGCAATTGCAAAGAACTTTCGTAAGAAGTAAGAATCTATTAAAGGCAGCTATTATGTTTTAAGTGAATCCGGAAGCTAAGTAACCGAAAAAGTCGGAAATATATTACCTAAAAAAACAGTAAATACGAGGCCGTCTTACACTCGTCCGAACTTTTGCGGAATAAAAAATAATAAAAATTCGGATTGGCAGACAAACTTCCGTAAAGAAATTATCCTGACCTTCATGGGAAATTGCAGCTTATAGGGAAGTTCAAACCCTGAGAATTTTCTGTACCAGAAATACCCGAAACGAGCATTAAAATCGCAGCGTATAGAGAAGCTAAAAACCACAGAAAATTTTCTCAAGTAAAAATATCCCAAACGCCATTAAAACTGCAGCTTATATACACGTTAAGATCCTGAGAAGTTTCTGTACCCGAAATACCCGGAACGTGCATTAAAATCTCAGCATATAGAGAAGCCAAGAATCTGAGCATTTTTCGGTACCAAAAAAACATATTGAAACCCATTCCAGATCGTATAGAGAAGTGAAAAGACCTGCGAAGTTAAGAACCTACATCCGTTCAGCCCATTTTCAAAACTGTAACCCCAAAGAAAAGAAAATCCAACCCTCCTCAAAATGCAAACAACTAGCGAACGAATCGAACCCACCACAGCAGAATTGGCGGAAAATCGTAAGCTTCTACATCGCATATTACTGGATCTCCTTATCATAATTGTCCTGCTAATACCAATAGCCCTATGTGAATTTGCCATTGAACCCTTCCGTCGTGGCTTCTTCTGCGACGATGAGACGATACGTTACCCGTTCAAGGACAACACCGTAACTCCCGTCATGCTGGGAGTAATTTTGACAATACCTCCCCTTATCATCATTGGCATTGGCGAGTATATAAGGCAATATAAAAAGGGTACCATCAGCAGTAGAAGATACCTCTGGGGCTGTCGCATACCGATATGGTGTTGCAATTTTTTCAAACAAGTGGTTTACTTTTCCTTTGGTGTCCTGCTGACCTTCGATGCCACGGAAGTGGGAAAATATACCATTGGCCGGCTGAGGCCCCACTTTATGGCTGTGTGTCAGCCACAATTTTCAGATGGTTCGACATGTGCGGATTCCTTTAATCAACATCGTTATGTGGAGAATTATTTTTGTTTGGGGACCGGCTTTACATCAGCTGATGTTCGCCAGGCGCGCCTCTCCTTTCCCAGTGGCCATTCAAGTATGACTTTCTATTGTATGGTATATGCTGCCCTATATTTGCAAAAGCGTATGCATTGGCGCAGATCAGATTTGACCCGACATTTTATACAATTCACCTTAGTGATGGTGGCATGGTTTACCGCTCTCACACGCATCATGGATAATTGGCATCATTGGTCGGATGTTTTGTGTGGTTCGTTGATAGGTGTTGTGGCTGCCTTAATTACTGCCAATTATATAAGTAAATTTTTCAAAAAATCGTATTCTGATATGACAGCGTTGAGGTTGTCAAGGCAGGATACTTCAGCCACGTTGAATGAGGTGTTGGCCCATACACCACCACCCTATACTGTGGAGGGTCAGCCAGCTCCAGTGTTTGCCAGCAGTGATCAATATTGTACCAAGGTGTGAGGTGGGTGGGGTAGAGCTTCACACAAAAGCTCCATAGCCATGTAAATATGTTAAACTAACTACCTTAGCTTTAAGTTCAAACCACAAAAATGAAAAGCTTTCCGCCAAAAATTACGAAAATACATTCCAAGTTATTATTTTTATTTTTTATTATTTTTTTTTTTTAATTTTGAAATTATTTTCTCATAGTATTATTAAGTTTTAAGTTGTTTGTTTTTAATTTTTAATTAAAAAAAATATTTAAGAAAATAAAATCGAAAAATCTATATTTTATAAATTATTATGTCCACAAGAAATCACACTTGTTTTATTGTTGTTGTTGTTTCGGGGGTTTTTCTGATAAGATGGTAAGTATTTGTGGTAAGTTTCATTTTGATTACTGTTGTTGTTGTTGTAATGACTCATGACACACCTTTTGATAAGACTTAGATGAGTTGGCCAAAAATAAAAAGACTCGATAAACGATGGCAACCAAAATATTTTGACGTTGGGTAATTTGCACCGAACCAAACCACATTGCTGATAATCATCAAAGAAATAAGGGGGGTTTGATAGTAAAACGCTTGTAATAATGAATTGAAGCGATATGTTTTTTTTGGAATCTAATCTATATATGGATTTCGAAATTTCAATATATATTTTTTTGGAGTGGAAATATTTCTCGGCAAAAATTGGAGACATATTTAAACATTTTAGGAAGACCACGGATCTCTAACTCGCCTTCTGAACCTGGGTAATATTTCTCATTGGTACTAAAAAAATATTCTTTACAAATCAACACCCTCTGTTCCAAAAATAAGTTTTTGGTCCACTTCATCCCAAAATTATTATCTGATCATCGCCGAAAATTATAGGCGTTTTCCTTGACCATAACTGGAACCTCATGGAAAATTTGAAAGCGATCAGCGCTATATTTCCGCCCTCTAGTGTGGTAATGAGTTACTAAATAATATATTAATACGTAAGCACATGTAAATATTTAAGTTTAACTCCCACATCCGAGTACATACGACAATAGATTTGCGATCAATTTAAAGGCCAACTAATACTCCTCTCCTATCAACTTCTCGGGTCTACGTCCTTCAGGAGTTAATATATATACGCTCAATCGGACGAAAATATACATGGAAGCTTTTTCTAAATCTGAACCGATTTTCACTAAACTTGGCACACATCTTTATAGACTCAACTTAGTATGCTATGCCAAATTTCGTGGGAATCGAAAGATATTTAGGGGCTTTGGCGCACCATTTACCTTAAATGGGACGAAAATATATATGGGAGCTATGTCTAAAGATGAACCGATTTTCACGAAACTTAGCACACATCTTCATAGACTCAACTTAGTACGCTATGCCAAATTTTGGCGCACCATTTACATTAAATCTGACGAAAATATATATGGGAGCTATATTAAACTCTGAACCGATTTTTACAAAACTAAACACACATTATTCTAGACCTTATTCGGTACCATATGCCAAATTTCGTGCAAATCGAAAGATTTATAGGGACTTTGGTGCACCAGTTCTATTAAATCGAACGAAAAATATATATGGGAGCTATATCTAAATCTAAACCGATTTTCACGAAACTTAGCACACATCGTTATAGACTCAATTTAGTGCGCTGTGCCAAATTTCGAGCAAATCGAAAGATTTATATGGACTTTGGTGCACCATTTCTATTAAATCGGACGCAAATATATGTGGGAGCTACGTCTAAATCTGAACCAATGTTTCCGAGACTTAACACACATCACTCTAGACTTAATTCAGTACGTTATGCCAAATTTCGTGCAAATCGAAAGATATATAGGGACTTTGGAGCACCAGTTACATGAAATCGGACGAAACTATATGAGAGCTATATCTAAATCTGGACCGATTCTCACGAAACTTGGCAGACATCATTCTAGACCTAAATAATTAGGCTGTACCAAATTTCGTGCAAATCGAAGGATATATAGGGACTTCGGTGGACAATTTACATGAAATCGGACGAAACTATATATGGGAGCTATATCTAAACCTGGACCGATTTTCTCGAAAATTGGCAGACATCATTCTAGGCTCAATTCAGTACGTTATGCCAAATTTTGTACAAATCGAAAGAGATATAGGGACTTTAGTTAACCATTTACACTAAATCGGGAGAAAATATATATGGGAGCTATATCTAAATCTGAACCGATTTTCAGCAAACTTGGGACACATCATTCTAGACCTCATTCATTACGCTGTGCCAAATGTCGTGCAAATTGAAATATATATAAGGACTTTCGTCGGACAAATAGACGAAAATATATATGGGCGCTTTATCTAAATCCGATCCTATTTTCTGAATTTCAATAGGGTTCGTCCTTGTGCCAAATAAGGGAACTGTGCCAAATTTCATCCAATTCGGATCATAAGTGCGACCTGTACTTGGTTTACAATTTAACATCTATAGACGGACGGACTGAAGGACATGCATAAATCGACTCAGAAAGTAATTCTATGCATATTCTCAAAAGGAACGATGTGTCTATTTCGTTTCCTTTTGTTTGTTACAAACATATGCACAAAGACATAATACCCTGTACCACAGTGTAGTGAAGGTTATAAAAATATATTGGATACGAAGTAAAAGAAATAAAAACATCAATAATTTCGACCGGGCAGAACTTTTTATACCCACCCCCACGTCTATCGGGACATTTATATGGGGACTATCTTGTTAAGTTATGTGGTAGTTCCGAATATCGACCCCGACCCTTCTGCCCTTTGAAGGACTCCCTGACCCTGTATGTAGTCTATGAAATACCTATGTTCCCTTCAGATCATCTATGGTTGACTCTCTGCTCTTCAGCTACATCCTGAAATTCTTGCACTTTTATGGCTCTGGTTTTCTCATTTGAGATCAGCGAAGCCTCCGTTTCTACGATGCAGTTGGGGTTTTTACCCTGCCACTTCACACTCCCTGAGCTATCAGCTGGTTCACGAAATGTCCCCTGGTTCGTCCATAAAAAACCTTTAGATCATATACAAAAATTTACATTACGCTCTTTAAAATACTCCCTGACTTAGCTAACCTTCAGCTCATCTATGAATGATTTCCCGCTCTTAAGTTGATTTATTGAAACTTCCTGAAACATCTAAGTTTTTATGGTACCGGGCCTTTCAGCTGATCTAGTTTATAGAAATTTCCCTCACAATTTAGCTCGTCTATAAAAATTTCCCAGCTTATCTATAAAAACTTCTTCAGCTCATCTTTGAAGTACTTCTTGACCCTTCAACTCATCTGTCTTCAATGATGAACTTGGAAATTAGGCCCTCTATGTCCTGGACTTTCACACTCCTTGAACTTTCAGCTAATCCACGAAATACTCAATTATCCCTCAGCATGTTTGAAAAAATCTACCTGACCTTTTAGCTCATCTTCAAAAATTTACCTGAATCTTCAGATCGTCTTTGAAAATCTACCTGACCATTCAGTTTGTTTATGAAAGACTTATTTATCCTCAGATACATGAGTAACTGCCGGGATAGTTGATCTACAACTTCGGTGTTTCATGGCCCAGGTCTTTCCCTTACGAAACTCCCAAAACTCGAGTCTTCTATGATGAACGCCCCCGAACCTTCAACGGTTTTGTTTTTTAAATTTTGTTTTTATACCCTTCACCACACTGTGGTACAGGGTATTATGTATTTGTGCATATGTTTGTAACAGGCAAAAGGAATCGAGATAGACCCATGGTTCCTTTTGAGAATATGCATAGAATCACTTTCTGAGTCGATTTATGCATGTCCGTCCGTCTGTCCGTCCGTCCGTCCGTCCGTCTGTTGATGTTAAATTGTAAACAAAGTACAGGTCGCATTTATGATCCGAATTGGATGAAATTTGGCACAGCTCATTTGTTTGGCCCAAGGACGAACCCTATTGAAATTGGGAAAAATCGGTTCAGATTTAGATATAGCTCCCATATATATATATTTAACCGATTTAATGTAAACGGTCCCTATATATCTTTCGATTTGCACGAAATTTGGTACAGCATAATGAATTAGGTCTTGAATGATGTCTGCCAAGTTTCGTGAAAATCGGTCAAGATTTAGATATAGCTCCCATATAGTTTCGTCCGATTTCATGTAAATAGTGCCCCAAAGTCCCTATATATCTTTCGATTTGCACGAAATTTGGCATAACGTACTGAATTAAGCCTCGAGTGGTGTCTGCCAAGTTTCGAGAATATCGGTCCAGATTTAGATATAGCTCCCATATATAGTTTCGTCCGATTTCATGTAAATGGTGCACCAAAGTCGCTATATATCTTTCGATTTGCACGAAATTTGGTACAGCCTAATCATTTAGGTCTAGAATGATGTCTGCCAAGTTTCGTGAAAATCGGTCCAGATTTAGATATAGCTCCCATATATAGTTTCGTCCGATTTCATGTAAATGGTGCACCAAAATCCCTATATATATTTCGATTTGCACCAAATTCGGCATAACGTACTGAGTTGAGCCTAGAGTGATGTCTGCCAAGTTTTGAGAAAATCGGTCCAGATTTAGATATAGCTCCCATATATAGTTTCGTCCGATTTTATGTAAATGGTGCGCCAAAGTCCCTATATATCCTTCGATTTGCACGAAATTTGGCATATCGTAATGAATTACGTCTAGAATGATGTGTGTTAAGTTTACTGAAAATCGGCCCAGATGTAGATATAGCTCCCATATATAATTTTGTCCGATTTAATGTAAATGTTGCACCAAAGTCCCTATATATATTACGATTTGTACGAAATTTGGTATTGCGTAATAAATAAGGTCTAGAATTATGTGTGTTAAGTTTCGTGAAAATCGGTTCCTATATATTTTTTCTTCCGAGTGTGTGTAAATTGTGCACTAAAGACCCAACGTTTGTCTGATTTCCACACAATTGGTACAATGAACTGTAGTTACTATAATACATTTCCTTTACATTGCTTTATATAATTTTGTCCCATTGTAAGAAG